TTAAAATTAAATAGAGTATGTGCCTATGTATACTGATGGATGGTAACTAGACTTATTGTGGTGATAATTTTACAGTGTATACAAATAACAAATAATTATCTTATACACCTGAAATTAATATATTATATGTCAATTATACCTCAATTTAAAAAAGGAAATCAAAGTCAGGATTCAAATCCATGCCTAATAACCATAAGCCTATGCTCTTGTCAGTACACCTCATACCATCTCCAGAATACCCAAACGTTTATGTTGAAGAAGTCAGATTTTCATATCCTGCTGAAGGTAGGAATTATGTCAGAAAAACTTATTGTAAAAAAGAAATCAACAATGTACATGTTAAAATAACTAACTAAATTAGAGAAAAATATCAATTTTGTCATGTATATTAAGGATTAGTATTTTTGTTTCAGATATGCATAGATATACACATATCTATGTATATGTTCTGGGTCAAAATGAAAAATTGTTTTTGTACTTCATTATACAAAATAGGAAATGGTTCTGGGATTTCAGTGCCAGTAAATCCATGAAAGAATAAATTTTCCTGAATTCTACATTTTTGTACATTTTTAAATGATTTTTGAACATTTTTAAATCATTGTACATTTTCAACGATTTTTTAAAAATCCATCTTTAACAGAGAATTTAAAAACAAAGATATATAGAGAAGCTTACGCTTTTGGTTACAGCCCCCCAAAATATGTTTTCATTGACATAGTACTTTATATTTCACCTAAGCTTGAGGCATATGAACTAGCATCAAAGGAAATTTGGTAGGAAACTTGGAGAAGCCAATATCATCAATTGGAACTATTTTTTTCTATGCTTTGATCTTATTTTAATTTCTGTCTTTATCACAGTAGTTTATATATTTCCGTAGTACACTGGCCAAATAATGATTCAGGTAAGCATAAAAATGTATGGACAAAACAATCCTGGTTGTTTTCAAAATTAAGAGCACTAACATTTATTCAACATTATCCACATACTTCAGAGGCTTAATTACTGCCCTTCTGCAGAATAATTAATAGTTATTTTCACCTATGTTCCTGAAGATGTAGCAGATGCAAAAGGCAAAGTAAGTGTAGAGAGGGGAAAGTAAAGTAATTGGGGAAAACAAATGAGTGTATGTGTTAGTCCTGCAATGTCCAGTACAAATGTCTGGAAACTCATCTCTAGTGATAGAAACTGTCATAAAAAATATAGAGCGATACCATTGACACTATTCCATGCATAAATATGTCTTAAAACCCAGTTCACTAAATATCCAATCTTGGGTAAGTTATTTAACCTGTCTGCATCTCAGTTTCCCCATCTATAAAACAAAAAAAATAAAAATATGTCTCCAAAGGACTGCTGAAAAGATCATTTAAACTGATGCATATAAAGTGTTAATAAGCACATTCTAGTTTCCAAGAAATGCTCTGCAATGATTGTATTTTGGGACCAATGCTCATTGAAATGGTTATTGATTTTTATGAGGAAACACAGTTGAATGAGCTGTGTGTCTTTTTAGAAGCATGATTTTGGCAATTCAAAGTGAGATAAGTCATCAAATGGTTACAAATATAGGTAGTGAAACCAGCAAACCACAAAGCTCTTAGAAAAATAGCTGGGACGTTTCCAGAGGGCACAATCTGTCACTGAGTAGTTTTATATTTCATTTGAAACTGATCTATTTTGGCAACTTCCCCAAATTCAACCTTAAAATGTGATATAAGTTTTAACCTGGCTAAAGAAAGTTTTATTGTTCTTGAATGTATAAATGCTTCAAGAACATTTGAGAATTTTATTACTTAGTTCCTTTAGATGTGTCATACTCATACTTTTTTAAATAGAGTCTAAGTTAACGCATGACTGGTGAATTTTTGGTGTAGCTATAATATTTTTATCCTTCAGTATATCCAACTATATAAGATGGGTCCATTTAAAGAAAGCTAAAAGAAAATGTTAATAAGAAGATCATGCCCATTTCCATTTGGACAGTTCAATTGATCAAATGTGCCTTTTTAAGTGTATTTTTCTTCTCTTCATTTCCACAAATTAAGAGATAATGGTTTTGAGCCCAGCCAGTGTGACTCAATGGTTGAGCATGGACCTATGAACCAGGTCACAGTTCAATTCAACCTGCCCGGGTTGCAGGCTCGATCCCCAGAGTGGGGCATGCATGAGGCAGCTGATCAATGATTCTCATCAATGATGTTTCTATCTCTCCCTTCCTCTCTGAAATCAATAAAAAATATTTTTAAAAGTGTTAATGGTTTTTGAAACTACTGAGAAAATACCTAGGAACCTCATTATGTTGGTGAGTCAGAACTCAAAGGTAACCTTCAAAATGATCCTTGTAAGACAGATACTGATAGCACAAATAAGGGGACAACAGAAAGGCAGCTAGATGACACAGCAGCATGTGGTTGAGCAAAGTTATTAACCTCAGACTCCTGGTACACACTTCAAAATGGGTATGATGATATTAACTTAGAGGGTCCTTGTGAGACCCACAAATAATATGCACTTAGTTTCTATTAACATTCAGTAAAACCCTCCCATTCAGCCTTTACGAAATTGCATCCATTGCCTCACTCTTCTTATTTAGTGCAACATAGAATAGCAAAATAAGAAGTAGAAGCTACAAAAGGGTGTTTGGTTTTATTGAGATTCTAGGATGTAAAACAATATTCAACTAGACCTGGCTTGTTTTTCTCAGTGGTTGGAGCATTGGACCGCAGACTGAAGGGTCCAGGTTTGATTCTGGTCAAGGGCAGGAATTCCTGGGCCACAGACAGGGCACGTGCAGGAGGCAACTAATCGATGTGTCTCTCTCACATGGATGTTTTTCTCTCTCTCTGTCTCTCCCCCTTCCTTCCACTCTGTCAAAAAATCAATGGGAAAAAATATCATCAGGTAAGGATTAACAGCAAAAAAACTGAACTAAAGTAACACATTTTTGCGTTAAGTAGGTAATTTTCCCCCAGACATAATGGTTATTTCCACTTCCTTCAGGTATATCAGCTACTTGAATTTTCCATCCCCTTCCACATATATCAATAAATTCTTTTTTTCCCTTCATTTATTTTACATGCTTTTGTCTCCTTCCCTTCTTCTTGAAAAGGTGGTGTGGCATATTCCTCAGAAAAACCCTCATAGTGGACTATGAGTGCAGAGTTTTGTTTATTTTGTTCACTATACAATATCTGATATGTAGTAGAACATAACAGATATTTGCTGAATAGATTAATGAATCTCTTAACATATGCCAGATAACAATTTTCCATACTTTAAATTAATAGTTGGGCTTTTTTTCCTAAGGGGATTAGACCAAAGTTACTGGGTCTTTCCATGTCAGAGCAGAAAGCAGAAATAGCATATCACATTAAAGTTGGCCTACTTCGAGCACATGGTGAGAAAGCAGGGGTCTTTTTCTTTTTTTAATATTTTCATTGATTTCAGAGACGGAGAGAGAGATAGAAACATCAATGATGAGAGAGAATCATTGATCAGTTGCCTTCTGCACGCCTCCCACTGGGGATCGAGCCTACAACCCACGCATGTGCCCTGACCTGGAATGGAACTGTGACCTCCTGGTTCATAGGTCGACACACAACCACTGAGTCATGCTAGCCGTGCAAAGCAGGGATCTTTAGAAAAGATAATAATGCTGGGGAAAACAGAAGTAGGAAAAGATGAAGACAAAATATGAGACAGATTGACTCCATAAAAGAAGCCACAGCCATGAGTCTATAGCAGTGGTCGGCAAACTCATTAGTCAACAGAGCCAAATATCAACGGTACAATGATTGAAATTTCTTTTGAGAGCCAAATTTTTTAAACTTAAACTATATAGGTAGGTACATTGTTATTAAGTTAATTAGGGTACGCCTAAGGCTTAGGAAGAGCCACAGTCAAGGGGCCAAAGAGCCGCATTTGGCTCGCAAGCCACAGTTTGCTGACCACGGGTCTATAGGAACTGAGCAGGTTTGCCGAGGAAGGACATTGTGGATATCACTCATTCATAGGGTTGGCATGAGTTGGAACCAATTCAATGGCATATAACAGACACTTTTTGTATATAGTACCTGTTGCCTTGCTCTGTATTGTTTGTCTCCCTATTGTCTTCAAGGAAAGAGATCCTTTCTTTAAGGCCTTTAGAGGTTGACATTTGTAAGGAAAATGTTAATGATATTAAGCCCTGGAACACTCTGGGTAGATTTCATTATCAGCTGCAAATTCTGACCTCTGCCTCAAGGCAAGTAATAAAAGACCAGAACAGTCAGTGAGTCCTCTGCCCTTTTGGTGCAGGTAGACAAGAAGGTGAAAGTAGAGAGTCAGCTAAAGACAATGGGCAGTTTTTCAGTTTTATCACTGGCTCCTAACAAGACTGAGCATGCTTCAAGTTTCTACTTCAGGATCCCACTGACAATTAAAGCTTTTCATCTTGGGGTTCAGAGACCTGAGAAGAGTGCATAAGGGCTCCTTGCATTTGATAAAAATAAAAGATGTGAAACATTTTGACAAGTTTTATTCTCATTGTACTAACATTTCTTACATCTTGAAGTAGAAGAGTCAAAAAGCAGGGTGGTCTATAAGCTGTCACCCCATAATTTAGGAAAGATACTAAAAAAGATTTAAGGAGGTATATATGGTGGGACAAAATAGGTTTACAGTTTAAATATGCAAAATGCAGAATTTATTCTTGTATTCTTATTTGTTAATTATTGTATTATTTTCCATACAAACAACTATAAACCTACTTTTTCCCACCCTGTATTATAAAATGGGGCAATGGAAAACATGAGTAGCAAAGCAAACAGAGCCCCAAGAGAGGCTGACATAGAAAATATGTCATAAAGACACACACACACACACACACACACACACACACACGGAAAATTATTTCTGTTAAAATGACTTTCTCTTTTTTCATCAACAATTAGTTAAAAGCTGTCCAGCAAGCAATTTATTTCACATCCACCTCTTCTTTTTTATTCCTAGTTGCATCACTTTAAACCACTGGCTCTCAACCAGTGGCTATTTTGCTCTCTTGAAAACATTGGACAATAGCAGGAGTCAGTTTTGCTTGTCACTGCTGGGGGTGGAGGGTGCTGCTGACATCTAGGACATATAGTAGGTAGAGGCAAAGCATGCTGGGAAACATTCTCCAATGCACAGCTCAGCAGCAGCATAGGGACCATTACCATTCTTCTCATCCCAATGGCAGTGGTGACACCTGACAAAACCATGCCTTTACAAGTAAACATTCCACAATCACTCCTGTTCAACTGTTGAGGAATCTCATGTGGCTTCATGCTGTGGTGTGTCCACTCTAAAAGATTCAGATCAATATTTATTTTGGTCTTCTTTTCATCCTGAAAATACTGAAGGAGAATTTCACAGATCTTGTTGCCCTTCTGTCCCATAGAATCAAGATATTTTTCTTAGGTCTATCACCACCAGGCTCCATTGTACCTTCCGATGAATAGGCACCAGAATTAGTTCCTGTTCAAAGAGATTGACCCCTTTGGTCCATCTTTTCACTGCTTGGTAACCCCCAGACTTTAATTTAGGATAGAAGAAAGTACTGAATGCATGAAGTACTGGATGGCCTTGTTTTTTATTTCTTTCCATGAGAAGATTCATGTAAAAATGAATGACTTCATCATTGAGCCAGTGAAAGTTCCTCAGGGTCTGGATGTCCCCTCGAGTGATGCGCAATTTGAAAGCACTACTTAGGATCTCATCCTGTGGGCCATGGCCCAGGGCGTTACTGATTTCCTTTTCCATGTCCTCTGTAAGTTCAAGAAGATCATCTGTTCTGTTATCTCTCTCGTTGCCTGAGCAATTTTTTTCTTTTGTCTCAAGTGTTGACATTTTCCTCCTGCATAAGCCATTGCTCCCACTGCCCAGGCGGAGTCGGGCTGACACTTCTTAGGACAGGTCAGGTTCCAGCTGGTGTCCCCTCCTACCTTCATTTTCAAGTCTAATTCCAACTGTCTTCTCTATATCTGAAATTCTCCCCTTTGAACACCTCTTTTCACTCCTCATTGGACATAGAGGTCCCCTTGTTTCAGCAGCTCTATATTGTTTTGGAACAAACTGAGTTGTTCTGACTCCACGACTTTGCTCTTCCCCCCAGCCTTTGGTCTTTAATGTATCCATGCGACATCTTTGAGAACTATAATGAGTTGAAGTTACAGGAGGAACAGAGTTTCCATGAACACCTTCTTTAAGTCGCTCCAATAACCTTCGGTACTTCTCTCTTTCCTTTTTTTGAACACCCTCCTCCACAGTATAATGGGGACGCCTCAGACGCTTGCCACCCTCTTCAATAATCATCTCTGTTACAACCTGTTCCTGAGGTTTCCACATTAAGGAACTCTCTGGATTGCCTTTGCTATGCCGGCGGCCACCTGGTCTTCTATTATAGCCTTCTGAGTTCAAAGTAAACCCAAAGGAAGGCAGGACTCTGCAAGGCTGATCTCGAGTTACTGTCACTCTGATCTTCGGATAATCACTTATTCCATTAGGAGATTTATTACCCAGTTTCAGCATGTTGTTCCAGAATCCGGAACCTGTCAGTTCACAAGATGAAGAGTTTGAAAATACCTCTCCTGAAGGAGCCACATTCCGTGTTCCGTTATAAGCAGAAGCTACAGAAGCTACCATGGGCTTCGTGGCCAGCTGGAATGGGAATCCAAACAAGCTGGCAGCATTGTAGAGACTGTTTTTCACTTGGTGAATAAAGCAATCTAATCTTGGTCTTTTGGCTGGTATTTCATCAGTGTCGACTGTAGAAAACAGAGTGCTGTTCGAGCGCCATCGCTTCAGCAGGGCCCGCAGGGGGCACCGACCAGTCGCAGAAGCGGAAAATGGTGCCGAGAATCCTAACCAGCCATTTGTACATACCAAGCCGAAGCAGCAGCGGCGGCCAACACACCCCAAGACGCAAACCCCAGAGCTGTCGCCACCGCTGCCACCTTCGCCGCCTCAGCCACCACAGCCAAGGCTCAGTGGTGGACTCCAAAACTATGCCTTGAAATAGCACTATAACTATACTAATAACATTCTCTCCTCCATCGTTTGCTTACTTCAATCCAACTCGAGATTAGTTGCAAAGTTTGTATTGAAAGTGTTATTCTCATATGCTACAACCTTCAGTGGCTTTACTCTTACAATAAAGTCCCAAATTCATAACCTATCATGTAAGGGGCTCAGATATTTCCTTCCATTCTCTCTTTCATGGCTTTGTAAAACTACATATAACCTGTTTCATGTTACACCTTCCTATTTGTTTTTTTTTCTACTGCTACAAACATATAAAAAACAAAATGAAATAAAAATTATTTCCCAAACACATTTAAATCATATTCTCCTTCAAGTTCCAGCTCAAATTTCATTTACTCTATAGCTTTTCCTGACTCATTACAATGATGCTTTCCAATTTTGTAAATTGTTTATCTTCATAAAAATTATATTTGTGAATGCACATTCTACATTTGTAAAATAATTTGTTCAACAGCAAATTTGAGAAGCAATTCAATTTAGCTGCCCTATTCACTTTTATCCAATCCATCAGGTCTTTTAATCAGGCTAATAAAGTTTCACCTTCTATCATCTAAATCTAGATTTCTTAAAATGTCAAGTGAAAATATTTTTACATTTATAATATGATTTCAAAACCATACTGATTTAATTTGTAATATTTTAAATAGATCTAAATTTTTGCTTTTCATGTTTCTGTGTGTAGATGTGGAAGATTTTACAACTCACATACTTATGATGAGAATATTGCCCAATATTCATTTTTAAATGCTCTCTCCATGGCATGAATTTCTAATAAAATTCAGTTCCTTCTTAATGGTTGATAATACCGAATTTTACCTTGAAGGGAGAGCTCAAATGCTTTAAAGGCTTTTGGAAATATCTGAGAAATAACATAGTACTTGGAACTATTTTCCAACACAAAAAATATTCAGTGTATTTGAAACACTTTAAAAAAGGAAAATATGTATTATATTTTTTCAACTACTCTGTGATGATGTAACTAGAACACTTCTGTGTAGTAAAACGATTTGCTGAGACTCTCCTGTTTTACTACAAAATATTATAAGTATTCTTCTACTTACAAGTGTTTCAAATACACTGGCTTTTCACTGTGGATATCAATGCCATACAGGGCTTAGCAAAACTAGATTTACAGTTGCATTGTGACATTATTTTGAGTTAATAAAGTTCTTGTAATAATCATAACCTATGTGTCTTTCCATATGAACTGTAAACCTACTTTTGCCCACCCACTTTTGTCCACCCCTGTATATTATATAAAATGATCCCAAAACCTGTATATTAAAAATTAATAAATTTTTATTTCTTTCTAAATTTTAAATAAAATGAAGAGACACTGTAATGATTTCTTTAGAACACCAGAGGATCGTCTTGTGTATCTCCCAGGTAGGTGCTCCCACTTTCTAGATTATGCTCTAATCTGTAATGCTTTCTTTATCCTCTAAATGCCTGTAGGAGTTATAATCAAAATACAAGTATCATGCATGAAGTGTTTACCACTTATTGAGATGTAGTGAAGTACGTACACGATTAAACTATCTAATTTAACCTTAGAAAATAAGGGATTATTACAGTCCACATTTTATAGTAAGAAGACCAGATTCATAGAGATTAAGAGCTTGCCCAAGGTCACACAGTTAATAAAGAGAGGAGATGGGAGTTGAACTCAGTATTTGTTTCACAGAAGCCTGCAATTTTAACTATGTTGCCAGAAATATTTTTAATATCTTAAGGGGCAGAAGCATTACTCTGAGAGAGCTAGATAGGTAAATTTGCATTTAAAAATTAAAATGTAACCCAGCCGGTGTGGGTCAGTGGTTGAGTGTTGACCTATGAACCAGGAGGTCACAATTCAATTCCCATTCAGGGCACATGCCGGGGTTGTGGGCTTCATCCATAATATAGGGGGCATGTGGGAGGCAGCCAATCAATGATTTCCTCTCATCATTGATGTTTTTTGTCTCTCCCTCTCCTTTCCTCTCTATAATGGAAAAAAAGTATTTTAAAAATTAAAATGTAAAAATATACCATATTTTATATAAATGTAATAATTATAAGCCACTCAAACAATCCTAGAGATATTACTAGAATTTTCTGATTCATCCAGTCTCTCTTACCCCTAGTCCTTTCTAATTTTACATGTTTATAATATGACTAGTGGCCCAGTGAACAAAATGTGTGCACATTAAAAGGGAATTAGAGGAAATATTTTAATATTGCTATTTGCCCTTTCTCTATAATAAAAGTGTCAGAGATGAAAGAAAATTAGTAAAATGTATATGAAAATCTCCCTCCTGTCAGAGTCTGGGGCATGCCACTGGACACAGAGTCAAGTCCCTGCCCACCCGCGCATGCCTCAAAATCGTGTGAGACCCAGACCCAGCCGGCCCCACCCCCGTCAAGCCCTGCAGGGCGAGGGGCACAGCCTCAGGTCCCCTGGCCCTGGCACGAGGGCACGAGTGTGTGATGACAATGTATATATTAGCTCTTTATTATATAGGATTAGCTTTGGTGTACAATATCTATATTCTCAATAGGTAACTTGTTCATATAAAGATTTTTTTTTAAATCTAGCATGAGCTTCATTAGGACAGTGCCTTAAAATTTATATATTTAAATGTTTAAATCACCACATAAAATTGTGGATACTATAAGATATGTTGCAACAATATCACTGGGATTATTTTATTGCTATATAATCATACTTCTAACATGTTGAAATTTAAAACATGTCTATTGAAATATTTCAAAGTGCTCTACTTTGGAAAACAGGAAGAGAAATAAACAGAAGGAATATTTTCATTGTTCACATACTGAGATAATTAATACTATATTTAAAAACAATGTTTCACTATATTTTTAAATACTCTTGAATAGAATCAGTTACCATTTTCTTGATTTGTATAACCCTTAAAATTTTTCTATAAAATTAGTACTTATCCTCTAAAAAAGTATTGTTTACATGTTGGCCTTCTTTCATATTATACCAGGAAGGGAGCAGAATTATCACCACATATATAAATTAAAACAATGAATTAAATCTTGCATATTAAAATATGGTAGCAATTAAAAACCTTAACATGAAGATGAATTAAAAATCATGCAAATGAGCACAACAGGAAGGCCAAACGTATTTGTTCTGGGGAAACCATAAATCAGGAAAAGGAAATTCATTTATGCCAGAAGGGAAATAATCACAAGTATGTTTCAAATCTCTTGATTTAGAAATGCTGCGATTCTGCTCAATCTGACTTACAAACCTTTTCAGATAATCAAATTGTGCCCAGTCCTGAAGGAACACACATGATATTTGTTTAAAAGGATGGTGATTGCCGTGTAAATTTCTTTTACATTGTTATTAACACGAGCTGCTCCACAGACTTGGCAAACACTGCTTATTTCTCCCACTGTCCCAGAAGAACCATAACCCGCCAATTATCGTGGGAATAGTTTATCAGAGTATGGATTATCTGGAGTTCCTATTTCTCTTTCATTTGGCCTATTCACAGCTCATTAGCACCTCAATAAGAAAGTTCAGGCTAAGGAAGGAAAGGCTGCCAAAATTTTAAAAAATTAAATTTGCTCCTTATAAGCAGCACATACTGTAGAACCTTGGTTCTCGAACTTAATTCTTCTGGAAGGCTGTTCAAGAATCCATTTGTTCAAAAACTAAATCATTTTTTCCATTAGAAATAATTTAAATTTAATTAATCCATTCCAGACCACAAATGATTCCATGTTTTAACCTTTCTTAAATACAGTATATGTCTAATGTACTGTATAATCTATAAACACATGCTTCTTTTATTAAATTTATCAAACCATCTTCTACTTGTCTTAAATGAATCACTTTCAGCACTCGTTCCAGGGATGTCTTTCAGGAAGTCAGTATGTAGCATCTTGGCTTGTTCATATATCACTACCTCTGAAATGCTGTCACAGGCTACCTGCTTTTCATTTACCCAAATCAACAAATGTTTCTACCCCCTCAATTGCCTATGATCATTGTTTATTTCACCCCCTTAGCAACTTTAGCACTTTTGATGGCCTCTTTATAATTTAACATTGTGTTAATCATCCATTTGCCAGCAACAAAAGCAAAAACACAAAAATATTCACAGCACAATTTCCTGAGAGGTTAACAACTGAGGTTTAGAGGTAAAGTAACATCCATTCTCTCCTTTATTTGTGGCCCGGAGAAATGTTTATTGTCATGCTGAAGGGTTGTCAGGTTGAGAACCAAAGTTCTGTTCAACAACCAAGACATTTTTTCCAAAAACAACTTGGTCAAGAACCAAATTGTTTGAGATGGGAGACTTTCAAGAACTGAGTTTTGACTATACAGCAAAGCATTTTAAAATGCTAGAAAAATTAGCCAAAATGGGATCCACAAAGATATTTAATACACTGGCAATTTGCTTTTACTGATTTTTCTCCCACTGTATTGTCTGAAATATTGACTGATTGATTGGAGGTTTGAGCATCCTATAGGACTCCGAGTCCTTAATTTTTAGCATTTAACAGATATCACTTTCCAGTGAGCAATATATGAAACTGATTGCCAATATATTGTGCATTTTCAGTGTGGGGACAAGAAACTGAAAATCAGCTTTCCAAAAGAAGATTTCTGACACCTAAATAGTTTCTTGGGGAGAAAAGTATTTGCCTGGTAAAAAGAATCAATTGGAAAGCTGTTTGTTTGGTTTACGCTTGCCTGTGCATTTGATGCCACCAATATTGCTGACTGTCCTCTAGAAACAGAAAACTACTTGAGGTAAAGAACAACTAGAACTGAAGTTTAGAGGGCCCTGGGAGGGGTACAGCATGGAATACGGGGAGTCAGGGCAGAAAAAGCCACTACTAATGA